ATTTAATATTTTAATTTTAATTTTTTTTTGTAATAAAGTGAATTTCTAGTGTGTTTCTTTTTTGAAAGTAGTATTAATGTATTATATGTAATATTATATGTGTATTATTATAATTATACATAATGTGTTTTAAATAATTATATAGTTACTTTGATATCATATAGTTAATTTGATGGTGAATTGTATGTGTATGCGTACATACATGTGCGTGCGTGCGTACATGTATGTGTGTGTATATGTGTGAGATACAATTATATGTATATTTGATTTTGATTGTTTGCGGCTATATTGCAATATACACATCGGTTTTGTATCATATTTCCGTTTTCTGGTTATAACTGTAACGTATTATGCGTTGCTATGGCTGATGAAATTCTGCGTTATATGATTTGAATTTCCTAAATATAAAGAGAGTATTTTTTAAAAATAAAAGTTGAATATTATGACAAAGAAAGTCATACATGCTTCTTAAATAAAAAATTATACATTTTCTAGCAACGTTTATTGTTATAAAAAAAAATAATTAATTGATTCATTTCATAAAGCAATTCGATATTGATAGCAATCCCTGCATATGATCGTATTTACAATTGTAACAAGATAAATCGTGTATACGTTATGCATTATATATGTTCCGTAACAATCTGGTCTGCAAAATTCTGCAATTTAATTTTCAATTGTAACATGTATGTTAAGTTCAGTTATAATGTGTACTTTAAGTATATAACTGTAATAGCAAATGTATACTTCGATACGCAATCCGTGAATTTGTGTCTCGATGAGAGCCGAGACCTATTTTACGTGGTCGATTGCTGACGTCATAGCTGTACTACATGTACATAAGAACATACACTAGCTTATAGAGCAGTGGAAGGATGAATGGACGAACATATACACTCAAATAGATGTTTTCATTTTCAAAGTTTTGCAAAATATTTCGTATCATGGTAAGCACAGGACATAATATTGTTACGGATTTTTGCTGAAAGGGTCATGCGACCTGTACATAGCGAAATTCAATAATTCAATATCGGATGGTAAACATAGAAAGTACACTTGTTAGCAAAACTTTGAAATATTAAATGAAGCAATACGATTAATAGAAAATAGTACCGAAGGAGTAAGGCCTTCTTGTGCGTCGTTATCATTGTGAAATGGCGCACAATATGCAGCCGGTGCATGCATGTAGCTCAACCTTATCGGATTTAACCACCTGTACGTAATGGTACCTGCTGCAGGCAGCATTCGATTATCTATCTGCAAACTCCGTGTATCTACAAACGCAATTAATCATCAGCGCCAAATATAAAGCACGTGACGAATTGACGTCATGGGAATCTCCTAATGCTGAAACAAACAGTTGCAATCTCTCGCTGCCGTCGCGCCGTTTTGGCAGAAGTTTGGGACACGTAGACGTCTCTTACTAATACTATCTACTATATTGCTATCTTTTACGCAACGGTCCATTTTCGAGCGCGAGTATTTATAGATACCATATACCTTACTTACAATCATCCTCGGCTGCAGTGCGGCAATTGTCAAGCGCGTATAATGAAATATTTACCGAGTATGAGTATAAAATCTCAACTTCCGGACTTACAGAATCACTGTAAAGATATCAGCGTCTACATTATGCAAGCAAACGTCAACCGAGCGCAAAACAACAAAGTCACGAGGTGGAAAGAGACGAGCGTTAACGCAAAGCTCGAATTGGTGCAATCATGATGAGTAACGACAAATAAACTACAGATCCAATGCTACTTGCATAAGTGTATACTGCTATTTTGATGCGTGTAACACGTTACGTTTAGTAAAGTGCTCGTCAAAACCATAAGAAAAATCTTCTGTTCTTTTACACTGAAAAGTAAAACATGTTATATGTACATACTATATGTAGGTTATATGGAACTGAGAATAACCATATATAATCTATATGTTATTTATGTTTTCAAATTTGATAATAACGTAACTATAATGTATAATAAATCTCAAGTAAAGTCGCTATCTATTACATACTTTAACGTGACATTTAAATGTTTTCAAATTTGATAAATCATTAATTATCTATATCTATAACGAATATCCATCCTGGAGCAAATGTTTCATTGATACTGCAACGAATAATATGTAAACTTTATCACGGAGCTAATATTCGTTACCCAAGGGTGATTTGCAACTTGCCAAATCCAATCTCCATAATTCTACAATTATATTATGGAAATATAACTTTCGCTGAAAGTGGATTATGTGATTGAGAGTCTGTTCGCATCCGCTACTTCGCTCGCGAAATTTCGCGCGCTACTAAATGCGCACGTTAATTAAATAATCCGGTTACCCGTACTGAGCATTCTGTACATTGTTGCAACAACAAATTTTCTATGTTAAATAAATCTCGTAAAATTCAGCATCAACAGCATCAGTATGTACATCACGAGATGTGTCAATCATCTCCAAAATTGCAATGCCAAAAAGGAGAAATCGTGAACGAGACAAAAAATAATGAAATTTAGTGACATGAATTTACAGACATGCTCTATTTCGCTCGCCAAGCGCTTCCTAACTCGTATCAATCTCCATTACTACATAAGTATACACTATATAACTCGGCACAGTTGGGGGTGCTGAGACGCAAGTTACTTTCGACTTCAGACGCGCGTTTTAGGTTTCGCGAACAATGCAGTCCTTGAGGCGCGTTTGCGCGTCATTTGCGGTGCAAAGTGCTCTGAATCCTTCGAATTTTTCTCCAGTCAGGATACAATAATCCCACATTTTTAAGTATTGGCCATATCCCAAGAATTTTCAAGCAAGAAGAAGCTGAACTAAATAATTTTACATTTCATTCTTCGATAAAAAAAGTTGAATAAAGAAACATAAATAAAAAAAATCAACGAAATGTAATTAATTGAATATTTTCTATTTTTTATTCCGATATTCTTTTGCATTTAAATGCTTTTTTCTACGTAAAGTACATACAATTTAGAAGAAAAAAAAATACAAACAGAAAAATTGTAAATATAAAAAACAGATAATAATAATAACAATATTATTACAATACTTGATAGCCGAAATTATTTTTAGCACATGAGATCTACGAATTTTTTATCAAAGATAAACTGAGAGATAATGATGAATTAGTGAAGATTTAACAAGATTATGTAAGTAACTTATATATGTATACATACAAGTGATACAAGTAAATGCAAAATGATATATGCTATTTGAAAAAGTAAGTAAAGTCTGAAACCCTATTTGTAGGCATTTGTATCTACTTGTGTCATTCGTGTATGTACAAATATAAGCGATTGCGTACTTTTTATTCGCTCGATTTTTATTAATTTATCATGTTTTCGCTGTCTCTTTCTGCCACTGATAATGAATTATCATCTAGAATCACGTGCTAATCACGTGCGATTTGCTTAAACGCATGTCAAATTGACGCAATTCGTTTTGCCATTCGTTTACGCCATAACTATGTCAGTATCATTAATTAAAGATTACACGATAGTGTAATCTTTTCTGTAAAATTCTATTCACGATCAGTTATGAATTTATTTTTATGTATATGTATATGTGTGTTAAATAATTTTTTATAAAAAAAGAAATTAAATCTTTCTTAGAGATGTAATTTAATATTTATTATTTTAGATTAAATAGGTACACTACACAAAAATAGATAAAATAAAATAATAAATGTACATGAATTATTTATTCTTCAATTAAAAGTTACAACTGATTGGAATAAATAAAATATTACTTAAATAATTTTTAATCAGAAATAAATAACTGTCGTTAATATTGAATATTCATGTGAAAGATAGAAAAAGCTAAATAGCTAAAAAAATTAAAGACTAAACTAAAGACGATCTTAAAGCCGGTTCTGAATAGAATATATAAATGTGGAGTCTATCTGAAGATACGTTGACCGATTTAGTAGCGCAAAAAATAAAGTTCTGCAATTTACTTCAACGAATTCATACAATGAGACAAAAAAAATCTGATAAATAGCTAGCCATATTTATGAGAATTCACTATTGACAAAAAGAACTATTTTAATTCCACAATGTATTTATATAGGTTTTTTCTATTTCTGTATACGGTATAATCCATCGAAGGAAAACTATTCTCTGAATAATTTCTAATAATTATCATTATTCGATCAATCGTAAAAATAAATCTCTTTTCGAGATAGATACAGAATGATCACAGGCTTGTATCATTAGGCCTGTTCTTTTTAGTTGAATTTTTGCATCAGTTCATCTTTCTTTCTTTTCTCTTCAGGAAGAAGAAGAAGAAGAAAAATAAACTGGTGCAAAAGTTCAGCCAAAGAGAACAGGCCTATTGCTTTGATAATTCGTCACAACTGTACGATGAGTAAAGTCAGCAACTAAATAAATCAATAATAATATCAACACTAAACTTAAGACAAATTATATGAACTTTGACAAACTAATTTGCTCTATTCATAATTTTATTGCTGAGGAAGAATCCAAAGTGAGTCGAAACGTCCAATTCAAAAAATTTGAAGATGTCATCTTGCCCTTAATACAATAAAGATTTTTACATAATTCCGCACATCGTAATCTATGCTGCACTTTTATTAGCCCTTTTATATTAATAATTAAAAGTTTGAATATTAAAATATTAATATATTAATATATATATAAATATATTAATATATTAATTTCATAAATAAAAAATGATAATTTTATTATTATATTTTGATAAAAATAAATCATAAAATGTCATCAATCTCTTAAAATAATTGTAGATGTATGCGGTCTATAAAAATGATAACACGTGACTGATAAGTATTTATCGCAATACGATTACTAAAAATAAAATTATATGTTATATATAATTTAATATTCGATATTGTTAATCTATCAATCAGCTGTTCTGCATCGACGTCATCAATGGACGCGCGCTAGTCACGATAGCAACTGACTGATACTTTTTAAATGTAGCAGCCGTACTGCGTGGACTTCCCAGTATTACGTCGGCGGCTGACCACGTCGCATGGACTGCAAATTCACTTCGAAATCGGATTCAGCTGATCTGCAAAACGAAATGTACGGAACTTGGAGTGCTGTGAATGAACTCATGAATGTCGTATGGTGATTGACTGACGACCATATATTTTCCACGACGTCTTATCCTCTATCTCGATCAGGAAATCGATCAAATTCACTTGGCCGGAGAACGTAGGAGCCCTTCGTAATTTTACGTCAGACAGTCAATCGTGAAGCTAGCATCTGCGTGTCCATAAGTGCTGCTGAATCACCCGAGAAATTTATCACCATAAAATAAAATAATATAATGTTGTACAAAATAATGTTTATGTAATAATAATATCAGGTGAAGTGAAAGGAAAACGTACGACCTTGGCAAACAACACAAAATATCCAGAATGTGAATAATGCAGATATTCTATTCCATATCATCAAATATGACATTACAGGTAATGTAAATTTTAGAATGTTTGATAAAAACGGGTTTTACATAAATTAATGGAAATTTTATTATGTTCCGCGATTTCATCCTATAGGGATTTTGAGAAATCTAACATTATTTAAAACAGAATTCGACACCTTAATTCAAATGAGTAATAGCTTACGAAATTGCACTTGACTGTAACTTTACAAACTTTTCGACAGCAAGTTTCCGAGTAAAAAACAAAAGATAAAACTTGTAATTTTGTGGAAAAATTTGCCATTACAATATTAACGAGTGTTTGACGTTAGAACATAAGATAACAGCAGAAATAATAGAAACATTAGATAACAATATAGAAATAACAAAAACTAAACTTACTTACTTTTTTGAATCATTCAAACTACCTTATTCAAATTAGTTCAAAGTCTAAAAGTCTTCCAAGAACTCTTAATAATAGTACTTAACAATATAATAACTTTGACAGGATGCTATTAATTTTATTATGCTTTTTATCCTTCTTGTGAATCGCGAGCGAGAAAAAAAACTAGAAGGATATTCATTACATTTTGATAACAATAATAAAAGTTTGTTGATAAATTCTAAATATTAAATTTACGAACTGTTGTAATATAGATGATTTTCTAAAAATTTAAATTTTTTTCTTAAAATTTAAATTATTCGATAACAATCCACAAGCAATATTGAGTAAAAATAGATCGAAATGGATTCAACACACACATTGAATGAAAATTCATATTCGATCAAAGCGAGTTTTGATATTTAATAATACAGAGTCCGGCAAAATGATCTCCCACATTTTAATCTTTAATAAAAACGCCATTGTAAATGCTATTTAGATTTTATTTTTATTAACTGAAAATTTATGCTATGCCATTTGTTTTTATTGAGTTTTGAAAATTACAGAGTCCAAGTGGCGACCATTTTTTTCGACATTCGAAGCTGATTTCTAAAAGTTTCCATCACTCGAGCAATAATTTGAGGCGATATTCCTGTAATTTCTTGGCGTATTGCTGCTTTCAATTCGTCAATGGTTCGGGGGTGGTGTTGAAAAATCTTCGCTTTCAGGTAGCCCCAAAGGAAAAAGTCGCATGGGGCAAGATCGGGTGACCAAAACTTAGAGAACTTGAACATTCGGATGTGTGGTTTCAACAGGATGGAGCTACGGCTTATACGGCAAGAAGGACAATGGACGTTTTAAGGGAAATGTTTCCAGGACGCGTAATCTCGTTACGTGGAGACGTTGGGTGGCCTGCGCGTTCACCCGATCTTGCCCCATGCGACTTTTTCCTTTGGGGCTACCTGAAAGCGAAGGTTTTTCAACACCACTCCCGAACCATTGATGAATTGAAAGCAGCAATACGCCAAGAAATTACAGGAATATCGCCTCAAATTATTGCTCGAGTGATGGAAACTTTTAGAAATCAACTTCGAATGTGTATCGAAAAAAATGGTCGCCACTTGGACTTTGAAATTTTCAAAACTCAATAAAAACAAATGGCATAGCATAAATTTTCAGTTAATAAAAATAAAATCTAAAAAAGCATTTACAATGGCATTTTTATTAAAGATTAAAATGTGGGAGATCATTTTGCCGGACCCTGTATTTGTGTGTAAATTTTTTTACAATTTCCAGTTCAAGCAAAATGTGCGACAATTATTTATCGATTTTGAAAAACAGTCCTGAAGTTAAAGTAGCTAATATCACAAATTAAATCGACAAACAACTTAATATTACTAATACTAATGAGTATCTTTAAAACACCGTGTAAAGAATTTATTAAGAAAAATATCTTATCTCAATCGAGATTTGAATCTCCCGAATATTCTGAGAATTCCGAATTCCGAGAGCGTTTTATCAATTCGACTATTAAAGTGATATTAATTACAGTAATTAATATATGTAGGAAAAGTAGTTTTCAGACAACGTAAATAAATAAAATTAAAAATAAATCGAGAAAAAAGATTTAACACAAATAAATTAAGAGAACCATATTCTGTCAAAGCGGATTTTGGAGCATAGTTAATAATAATTTTATATGAATTTTTTTACAATTTCCAGTTGAAGCAAACATACATACTAAGAATAGCCATTCGAGACATATTAGTTTCTGCTTAGTAATGTTACTAGCAGTAGTTTAGATTAGCAGCAGTTAGCAGTTCCTTACGCAACTATGTTTGCCGTCACGAACAATACGTAATATACGCTATTACTTTGCAACACTTTTCATGTAAACTTGAGATATACTCGCGATAATTATTTAAAAGCATGGTGTAAAATTCTTAAAAGTTCACAACTGACAAATTCTCAATATACATCTTTATCTATCTTAATAAATAAAACATAGTTTAAAAATGATAATTTAAAAATTCATGCAACACAAATAAGTAGACGACATTTGCATTCAATCAATACATTTCATATGTCAACACATTTTAAAAACATGTTTAAAGATAATTCATCAAAGATATTTAATATTTTTCCCATTACTGAATATATATGTATACATAAGAATTTTGCACTCATAATTATATATTTTTACTATCATTTTCTACATATCAATACCATTATATTTTACATTATAATTCACTAGCTGAGAACCGAAATGTATGAGTTTCATTATAATTGCAAATCTGTTCGATTGCTGGATATGAATTCATTCAAGGAAACGCTTGGATATTACCCATTTAGCATCAGAAACGCGATCAGACTATGGCTGTATTTGAAAATGCTGTGATTATTCGTATCAAGATCGTGCATTTTTATCAAGGATATACCCGAGCAGCATAAAGACGGTTCGAGCAATGTGTCCATTGATCTAAAGCGACGTCAATAAGAAAAACTTACATAATTCCTTATGAAACTATTATAAAAACATCATCAAAGACGGAAAGAAAGAATGATCTTTTGCATGAAGCTATTTTCAGCGCACATTTACATAGCTTTATTACTTTGCATGCTATACACACAGACACACACACACACACACACACACACACACACACACACACACACACACACATTACACATAGGCAATATCGTGATATACACATTACATAGCAAACAAACTTAAAAGGTTGTAATTAAATAACGTTATTCGTAGACAGAATAGGTTCTTGTTGGCATAAATTTACTTATAAATGCAATATATAATTGTTAGACAAATAAGTAAAAATATGCAAAGATCTCTTGAGAATAGTGCGATTGTGCAATGCACGGAACAAAAGCCGACCTTTGATAAATGTATCGACCTTGCTTTTAAGTACGATGATTCAATCGTGTTTCATGTCGCTTAAGATAGATATGTTACTTATTTTCGCATTGCGAGATCATTTTGCTAGATGATAAAAATAGTTCTTGTCGTCAGCGAGGTTCACGTTCAAATGAAGACTTAAACGTGCTCACACGCAGGAGTAAACTGTCTTTTAATAACCGCGTCCGTCTAGATGTTTTTTTTCCGGACGCAGCTGCATGTCAGACCGGAGATATGTTAGAAAGAGAAGAGGAAAGGGGAAAAAAAAGACTAGTCGGAGTGGTATCTTCTCGCAAAACTTTCCGCAATAATCCGGCGCAAAAAACGCAGCATCTGACGCTGTCAAAAAGTCCCTAATACGAATTGGGGAGATCTTGTAATACGGCAGACGCGACCCTCGAATTTTTTGCTGGAGTAATGGGAGAATGCTTCCTCTACCGTCATCAGCAACTATCGCTACGAGCGACATGGAGAACAGTCCAGGTCATGGCAGCTAGATTTGCATTGTAAAGTTTCCCGTCTCTCGCGTCCTACGTGCGCAATTTCGCTCAATTGCGCCGTCGCTGCTGCTAGCTGTTCGAACCGGGTAAAGGTAGTTACAAAAGCTCCTTCGTTTCGTTCCACCCTCGTCTTCCATCGTCTTTTGCGATCTGATAAAGGTTCATGCATTTCACTCCCAGAGGGCCCTCGTTCCGATTCAGTAAAACACGCGCGAGAGTTTTGATAGCGTCACAATGGAAAAGCGTAACGTTAATGTTAGTTACTAAAAAGATATTCAGATTCTATTTCTAACTATTACAAATTCTTCGATAAATGTGCATTTTTTGGATAAACTTCCGAAAACCGAATCCCTCCGATTTCGATAAAACTTTGCAAAAGTTGCTTTGCTTCATTTTAAGTCAAAATGAAAGCCTTTAAAGGGATTTTTAGCGACTCTCAAAAAAAGCTATTTTTTAAAATAAAGTAGTAAAATGAATAAATATTTGCGTGGAAGTCGTGCGCTCCTAAGTAGAGAGGAGATGGGGTGAGAGTCGCTTCGCGTGGAAGTTGTGCGCCCTTAAACAGGAGGACGAAGGTGGGGGTGGGAGTCGCTTCGCGAAAAATCACTTCGTGAAAAATCATATGTCCTTTGGCAGGAGAAAAGTAGGATAAATTTGCTTTTGCGTAGAAAATCGTATTTCCTTTCATACAATAAAACTGATAATTTCATCATTAATATAAACATGTATTTTATTATTTTCTTTTAAAAAATAATTTTTTCGTAGCAATCGCCAAAAATCCATTTTAACCTATAAAATGAAGCTTTTTACAAAGTTTCATCGAAATTGGAGAGATTCGGTTTTCGCCAATGCATCTGATTTTTTAATGACAAAAGTTTGATAATAAATTATATTTTCTAGATCTTCAATGTTAATTGTTCTTCCAATTATGTCTCAATTATATTTCGGAGATTAAAGTTTTCTTAAAATAAAATTTAGGTAAAGATAAGATAAAAAGCATGTGACAGTTAAAAAAATATCAATTCACAGTTGATATTTTTTTAACAACTATCACATACTTTTTATCTTATCTTTATCTAAATTTTTAAATAGTTGAAACAAAATAATAATATTTAAATACTAGTTCAAAAATTCATGTATCAGTTAGGATAAATTCCATTTTATCTTGCACAAGATGGGTATCAATGGAATTACAAGACTTGGACAAGATTTGATCTTGCACAGCTTCACATGTTAATTGGATATCTCCATTT